TGGATGACACGCTCAACGCGACTCTTCTTTGTCAGTCACAATCGTATCATCCTCCAGTCAAGATTGCATTGCGACTGAGCTAATAGCCATAGGCTTTCAGTTGTGTCATCCTTCAGTCAGATTGTGAGTGCTACCACTATCCTATCTTGTACCACACGATCGAAAATAGCACTAGTGGCCACCGGCCAGGCTGAGCTAAATTGATGGGGGAAAATATTGACAAAAACTGGATCATTGTCCAGATTCAAAGTGACTGATAAGTCAAATTTGAGAAAGAATATTTTTGACCCACAGTTTCCGGGCCCAATTCAAGTTGATTTCTGTTAATAATCAGGTTTTCTTATGACTTCAGCACAATAATCATTTAATCTTCAAGCTAAAGGGAGCGACCCGTTAATATTAGTAAGAAAGGGACAATGGCAATTATCAAGGAAAAAAGTAATGCTGCAAAAACGTAACGCTGCCGCTAATATCAGTATATACTGCTACATGAAGATTGAAGAGTACAAAGATAATGCATACAATTCTCAGCATTCTAGAGTGTTTGCAAGACTTTCTTGTTCAGTTGTTGGACTCGAGTCAGTTTGTTTGTAGAAAACACCAGCAAGGCAATAACATTAATAGACACTGAAGTAAAAAGTGATATTTCAGATAGTCTTAAGGTGCAGGCTGCACAGTATAAGACTACACTAGTTATCCATAATCCTTCATGGAATACAGAATGCTGAGTCATGCATATCTTGCCCAGCAGTTGCTAGACTTTGACATTGCAAATGATTTTGTAAGACTATGCTACCGAAAAATTAACTAGACGTGACAAAGTCCTCCCGATGAAATGCCTGAATTGCATCACCATCAGACTCACCGAGAATTATCTGGCAATTTGGTAGGGCTTTTTGGAGTGGCAATATTTTTGTTTCAAGAATATCAGATGTGTCCAGATGATCCTTCTGGAGCCACTCTAGTCGATCACTCTTCGATGTAAACAGTAGCAATTGGTTGAGACTAGTAGAGTTCCTCAACACAAACCTTAGTAGCCTCATCTCATTGTCGCCCCCCTTGAAATTCGTCATCTTGAGCAACTTAAGGTTCTCAAGGCAATCCTCTACTGGCTCTTCCTCTGATTGCCCTCCATCAGATAGCTCTTCATCTGACCAGTCTTCCTCTGATTGATTTTCCTCCGATGCCTCTCCCTCGGGCAGCTCGTCTTGAAGCTCATCTTCCTTTTCTGATAGCTCTCCCTCTGGCAGCTTGTCTTGACGCTCATCTTCCTCTTCTGATAGCTCTCCCTCTGGCAGCTGGTCTTGAAGCTCATCTTCCTCTTCTGATAGCTCTCCCTCTGGCAGCTCGTCTTGAAGCTCATCTTCCTCTTGTGATAGCTGTCCCTCTGGTAGCTCCTCCTGAAGCTCATCTTCCTCTTCTTGTAGCTCTTCCTCTGACCCATCTTCTTCAGGTGGCGCATCTCCCCGCAGCTCCTCCACTGGCCCGTTTTCCACTAGTAGCTCTTCCTCTGATTCTGATGGTTCTGAGCCCAGTCTATAATCGTGACTATTTGTTGGAAGCTGGAACAGAGCATAGTAAGCATTAGGAAGAAGTAAAGCACAGCAAGAGAAAGCATACGATACAATGAGTATTAAATAAATGCATCTCTCATGGCCATAGTGCAATCTGTTTAGCAGCAAGAGAAATCTGTTTAGCAACCAAGGTCATCTTCACCTGCACAAACATCCTCTCTAATAGAGGGGGGCAGCAGGCCACGATGAAAACGCAAATGTCATCCACGCTGCTGTTGTACATTGCAAACATCAGCAGCTGCAGCTCTCGCAAATTCCGCAATTCGCACGACGCGGCGTTTTCGGCTAGCGATCTGTCACGAGCCTCGGCAGACACTCTCTGCAAAGAAGGCCATGACCTGTGAGTAACTGAGTAATGCAATTAAATCGATGGAATGAAATGCAGTAAGCAACGAACCCGCAGGGCACTGCTGCAGAGGGTGAGCACGGTCAGGTTTGAGAGGCTGGTGAGTGCCTGAAGCCAATTTCTTGGCACCCCTGCAGGCCAAGCAGACTCGAAACAGACTGGGGTGCCTAGAGGCCGGAGGCGACCAGCAGGTCCGCCGAAGCATAGGTAAAGGTCGGCGAGCGCGCAGGTGGCAGGGATTGTTAGGGCGCGGATGTAGGAGCCGCTGTAGCGGAAGGAGCGAAGGCTGGGCGCCTCCATGGTAGAAATGTCTCTCACCCCTCTGCACTCCGCGACGGTGAGGCTCCTCAGGCCCGGCGGTCTCGACGTTGACGAAATCGATGCCATCGCAGTAGCGCAGGTCGAGGGTGCGGAGGAGTGGGCACGCGGCGACCAGGTTCTCGACGGTGTGGTCGGAGAGCGTGACGCCCTCGAGGCAGATGACCTCGAGGACGGAGAAGGTGTGGGAGCGGGCGGAGAAGGGCTTGGAGAGGCCGACGCGAATGTCGCCGACGGTGAGGCGCGTGAGGTGGGGGTCGCCCTGAGGGAGGCGGAGCTTGAAAATGAAGCCCAGGGTCCGGTGGGCGAAGTCCACGTGGAGGTCGGCGACGGAGCAGGCGGCGGCGTAGTCCAGGACGCGGTGGACGCCGTCGGGCTTGAGGTCCCCCTTGCCGATCTGGAACGTCAGGGAGAACCGGTCGAGGCGTCGCCGGCCGCGCCGCTCCAGGGACTCGAGGATCGGCGGCGGGGGCGCGTGGGTCTTGAGGCGGAGGTCGAGCGAGGAGGGCGCCGGCCAGCGGTGCGCCCAGAGCGCGCGCCACCCGGTGGAGAGCGCGCCCGTGCGAACGGCGGATTTGAACGGGAGGAGGCCGAGGATGTGCAGCCGCAGCGCCTCCGGCAGCGACGAAAAACTGTCCTCCTCCGCCGCTCCCGCGCCTGGATGCGCTCGCTCCCCTCCCTCGCCCGTCCGCCGCCTCTTCGAGCCGCCACCGGAGTCCAACTCCGTCGCCGTCGCCATTCTCAGCCGTCCGTCGCCAATCAGCCACCACCCCGCTGCTTTTGCTTCCTGTGACGGGCCGCTCGGCGTTAACACTAGTGTCATGGGCTGTTATTGCTGGGCCAGGTTTGCTTGCCCAGTTTCCACTGGCCCAGAACTCGGAATCTTTCGCACGCTGCGGGCCTGTGGGGGACAGGGCGCTTTGCCTTTTCGTCAGCCTTTTCCATTCCCTCAAAGAAAAAAATTAGCCTTTCCATTATTCGATCCTTTTCCTTTTGCCCTTGTCTTCTTCCTCGCCGCTCGTCCCCTTAAACCCTCCCATGGCGGCCCGCCCATGTTCCCGCGGCTACCCCAAACTCCGGCGTCTCCTCTCCTCTGCCGCCGCCGCCGCGAACCTCCCCCTCCTGTTCTCCTAGAGGCGCGTGGCCGTGGCCCTCTCCCTGGTGGATTTGGATGAATGCCACCGGCCGGCCGCCCCAACCCATCCCCTCCCCAGCGAGATCTAGGCTGCAGCCCCAAAGAGAACTGAATATTCTCCCTCTCCAACTCGCACGAGCTTCGATCCGGTGCCCTGCGCCCGGCGTCCCCGAGACCGGCCCCGACCCCAAACGCGGTTTCCAACCCGGCCCGTCCCCCCTCCCGCACGCGTGCGGCCTCCGAGAGCATCGCGCGGTCCTACATTTCGTTGCGGGTAAGCGCTCACTTGAGACTTCACAACAATCATCCACTTTCTGCGATTGTGTTTGAACAACAGTTTCTGATCTTGTACATGCCACAATTGATAGTTCAGTATCTGCTCCAGTGCAGCGTTATTGTTGGCGACTCAGATTGGAATAAGCCGTCTTCTTTTTCTTAGGGGAAAAGTGCAGTGCCCTTGATTGGCTCGAAATAATGATCTGAAAGATTGATGGTCTTTAGACTAGGAGGGGTGTTCAAGATTTTGCAGACTAATAATTGCGTGACAGATTGTCATAGTTTGGGTTTATTCCAGAGCCTGCTTGAACCAAGTAACATTGTCGACTCGTAGTGTGATAACTTTTATGGTATGTATTTGCAAGCACGTAAGAATGGCGAGGTTGGTGTCCTTCTACATCTTTGTTCAACAAAAAGCTTATAATGGTTTGTTCCATACAGATCATAAACGCTTAGCTGTATTTCTGCTGTTATCATTTTGCTATTTAATGTTAGGGCAGTTTTTTGTTTTCTTCAGCACTACTAGTTGTCCACAGCTCAACCATTCTGATATCATCCCCTTCTCATTCGCAAGTTTTGTGAGCCTACTCTAACACCTTAAAAAATTTGTCTTCTATTTTCGCTGTTTGATTTTGTGAAAGATCCTCATAGAACTTTCCCAGCATAACATGCCATCTTCGCCAAAATTTCCATACGGTTAGCTTAGGTGCCATACAATGGATCCTCTCTTTTATACAGCGTCATGCTCACTTGTGGTATATGCTTTCTGGAGCCATATATCTGGACCAGTTGTTAGTTAATGTGCATTACCTAATTCTCCAAAGTTATATTTATAGCCATGTAGAGTCTTTGTATTTTCCCCGTTGTATAAGGGGCTTTCTGCATATTTCCCTCACATGTATGTGTATATATAGTGGACTATGGCCCTATGGGAATACGAGTTGCATAGCCCTAGGTTTAGTTTCTCTCCTCCCACCGCACGCGCAGCTCGTGCTCAATTCCAATCGATCCCGGTCTCCGTCCTCTATTCCGGTATTCCCTTCCGCTCCCTCAGGTGGATCCCTAATTCCTCTCGCTCATGTAGCTCTCGGTCGAAGCTTCACATCGCGATATCCCCGATTGGATCGCAATCTTTCAGATTCGCTCTAGTTTATAGTAATTAATGTCCATAATAGAGGAGATTTTTTGGGTAAAATTATCAGTTTATAAATGCTCTTGTTCTACTCAGTTTACGGTACAATGTTCAAGAAATCATTTTCATATAAATTACCAGTACTTTTTTAACTTTTTTTAGGTGACTCCTTTCCGCTCAGTGGTTATGGTGCCGCCTGTGTACCAGGAGCCTAGTATCATGCCGATCAATACAACGGAGAAGGAGTTGGAAGAAAAGGTAAAAGATGACAACATCTCTTGCATTCATTTCTTTTCCATCTTCCTTTTGAGCACATCGGTGATATCTTGGGTTTCTTTCTTCTTTCATCAGCTAGAAGAATTTTTTATGTAATTCACAAAAAAATTCAATTTTTTGTTTGAATGCTCCTAATAGTTTTACTTGTAGGAGGTGTTATGCACGCACAAAAAGCCCAAAGCTACAGGGTGTGTTGCCCAACCGCAGCAGGAAATTGAACTCGCCATTGAGAGTGATAATAAAGGGCATGGTGATCCTTCACCGAAAGAGTCTGCTTGTGTGGTGCTGAGCAATGGTGAAGCAAATGGTTGCAGTGAGGGGCATGTTCTTGGTATTTGAAATTCTTATCTTTTTTAATTCTTCTCATGATTCTTTTAGCCACTGTTAAATCTGATTGATTTCAGAATAATCAATACAACCTGTACATAAAATGTTATGGTTTCATATAAGATGGACAAAGAGTTATATCTCTTTAGTGTGGTTGTGTTAGCCAAAATTTAGATATCAATGTACTTGAATGGAAAATTTGAATTACTTATTGCTGCCTATATAATGAGAGACTGGATGATCTTATAACCTGCTCATCTGTATATTTACTCCCTCTGATCATAAAAAAGGGGCGTAATTTTCTGGGCGTATAGACTAATGAATGATAGAACTGGCCTTCTTATTTCCCCAAAACTGCCCCTAATTAATCATGCGTTCATAGAAGTAATTGACATCAGTCATTAGCCAGATTAGGAACACACAAACTACCACGCAAGATTTGGAATAACTACCACATGAGATTTAAGGAAAAGGCCGATGGGATGGAGAGGATTAAGGGGCAATCTTGGTAAGCCACGGAGAAACAGGGACCTGACACTGTTCTTGCGTGGAAAAAGCATGATTTTTTTTACGGGCAGAGGGAGTGATATTTATTGTACTATAACATGTAACTTAAATTATTAGGAGAAGTGAGATTTATCAGAAGAAAGTGACGTTCATCTGGCATGAAAACAAGGTAATGTGGACATAGCACTGAAACTAACTTACATGGATACTAACTTCTCTGGCTTCTGCAGACTGTCCAGGATTACAAAATTCACAATAGCTGGTTAGAATGATTCTTAGTTTACTGTGAAATCCTTCTCTAGAAAATTGCCAGTTTAAACCATTGACGTAATATAGATAGCATGCGAGCATGTTCTTTATATCCTTCTGGGCGGTGCTTTATCTTTTGGTCAGGAAACGATGGTGCTTTATCTTACATACAGTATTAACAGTTTCTTCACAAATTACCTGTTGCATGGTGTACTTTCTCGTGATGATGTATACCTTGGGCAAATGTCATGTCCAAATTCCGAAGACATGACTCGGGTAGAAAGGATCATTACAGTTCAAATATTTCATACAGTTAAGAAGTTAATTATCTGAATGTTCAGTATTTTGGTTCAAGAATATTGTAACTAAGAATACAGTGTTTCAAATAAAATCTTGGGCATGCATCACTCTAGCAATATATGCATAAATCTTATTTTTGAAGTTAAACTGTTGTTTTATAATTGCTGATTTTGTTTGAATTCATAGGCGGTGCAAATGAAGAACCAGAAGCAAGTTCGAGACTGGCTCAACTCTGCAGTGCAATTGGCTGGAAGAGTCCAACATATGAGTTTCAAGAACATGGACATGACCATACAAAACTGTAAGCTTTCCTATTAACCGGCGAATCTTTAATTTGTTTTTTTATGTACTTTCAACAGATATAGGCGCATTGTGCATTATATTACCTCAAATGTAATATTATCCATATTATCATAGGCAAAGCCACTAGTGGCTTCCTCCGCAAGGTGTGACAGTTACTGGCCATTCTATACTCACTTGAGTGTTCTTTGAACGCTTTGTGCTGTACTACCAGCTCGTATGGCATGCATAGCTGATAATCGAGCTGCATTTCTGATGTGTCATGCACTAATGTTTGAAAATTGAATAATTATACAAGATCGTGCAGTTGGTAAATCCAATGCTGATAAACACTGCAGCGGCAATAATGGAATGGTGATAAACACTGAAGGCTACTCAGAAGTAGCCCAGAAGTCCATGTTCTTTTGAGAAAATTTCTGTAGTTTCATAAGCACGGGCTAGCTACCACGTCAACGCTAATGAATAACAACTCTGATGTCTTATGTTTTCTATTCTGGGCGGTGGAAATGCATCTGGTTGATAATTTGCTTAAGATGGTAGGTAGAGTTCGAAATAGAAATGGGCATATCTGATGTTCTATTAACTCTGCAGGTTCACATGCAAGGTGAGTGTTCTTGTGGAGACGTTCACAGACACTGTTGTGGAGTGCATCAGTGAACCCAAACCCCAGAAGAGAGCTGCCCAGGAACAAGGTGCTCAAGGTGTGTTATGGACCCTCAAGCGCCTTGGTCATGTGAAATAGCTCTAGACATGCTCCATCAGGCGAGGCGCGGCGCGGCGCGGCGTCTGTCTGCCCTCTTGTTGCCATCTGATCCATCATAAGAGCGGTGTCTGCTCTTTCTTGAATCCATGACTCAACTTGTGATCACGTTGTGAGCTGATGCTCATGCATGATTGAACTTGTCGCTCTGTCCGTCGTGTTTTAATTTTATTGCTTTAGTTCTCTAGGACCCTAGTTCAGTTGTATTTCCAGTCGGCTGTAGGAACTCTTGGCATCACTTTGTGTTAAGTTCTGCTTAAGTAAGGGCTCTAGCAGAGTTATGTTCTGTTTTAAGTAGGAATATAGTATCGGGAGTAGCAGCTATGTTCAAGCGCAAGTCCACATGCTACAACTTCTTCGACGACGTTGTCAGGGGGGTGTTCTGAAACCTGGATGAACACTGAATATCAGGAGTTGCATCCTGAATGATCAAGGTTTTGGCAGGATTCAGTTCGTTTGATGCGGTGAGCCTGCGTGTTTATGCTCAGAGCATACATGTCACACTGAAACTGAACTAGGCGAAGCTAGTGTTTGTGTGTTGCAAACGTGAATACAAAATCA